TTTATATTTAGATGGATTGGTTTAAGTGTATTGAGTGTCATTGAATTAATTGAACTTCTTTATCGACTTATACACAAACTACTTATACATCGGAAAAATACTGTTACACCAATGACCATTGTAGTCAATAGCAAATAAAATCGTACATTCAAAATTCTATATTAATTAATAGATCTTTTGCTTTTTGTATTGTCTTTGCAGATTTTGATTGATACGAAATCGGTGGAATTTAATATTTAACAAATGTGAAACATTTCTATATATATGTTTTATTCTAAAGATAAAGAATACAAATTGTTTCTTAATACTATAAATTTATAATGTTTTCTTATTTAAACTCTCATGTTTTGTTTTTGATCGTTTTGAACGAAACATTTTTTCGTAAAATCAAAATTGCCCAATAGAAATTAAGTATTCTTGATAAAACACATAATGAAATTTGTAATAATACAAAAAAAGTATTTTTTAAATCACCTATATCCAATGCCATTTGAGCAAATAATCCAGCACTTCGTAGTGCATAACCACATATAATCGATCCATATATAATACGACATAGAAAGAAACTAACGACAAATAACATCGTAAACGTATTATGTAAATTAGTTCGATCATAATAGATAGTTTTTAAATTTAATGCAATTGTTGATAATTCTTCAAATAGTAAATAAAAATGACATGGACGGCAAACACAATTCAAAATACCTAAATGATAATATTATACTTTTAATTAATTAAATGAAAAAAAACTTAATTACCTAAAGATAATACAGATATAAGTAAGATATGATGTATTAATGCTGTATTTGTTCTTACTGATTTATAAAATAACATTATTAATAAATCATAGATAAAATATCCAAATGAATAACATAAACTATATATCATAATTTCATCACCGGTACCATAAATTCCACCGCCAGCTACTCGATTAATTTGTTTTAAATTAACGGAATAATTTAAAAAAAAAATATAATACACTCGTGACACCTATCAAAGCGTGAAATGTTGATATAATATAACTTTTAATCATTGGTGTTATTGATGATGGAAGAAAGCAAAAGAATAAAGTATGAATCATTATTGAAACAAATATTAAGCCAAATATCGGCACATCCCATGATGATATATTACCAAGATCTATTTAATAATAAAAAAAATTTTTTTCATAAGAAAATTAATAATAATAAATATAAAGATTTACATTGAATTTGAATTTGTTTATCAAACTGCATTAAGAATAAAAATATAATATATATCACTTTTTGAAATCTAAAGAAAGTTTAAAAACAATTGTGAAAGGAAAGAAAAAAAAACATTCTTTAGAGAAATTCACAGAATGAATGTAATCGACTTGGTATATACTATTTTAATCGTGGGGTTGTTATGACAAAATTTTCGTTCTTCTCTTTTCTGTATATATTATGTATGACCAGAATAATCGACTGTTTCTACCAGAGAATAATTCTTTTATGTTACAAAAAAAAGTAATCCGTTGAAATTTTAACTATTCAATGTCACACTATTCTTCTTCAAGTCTTTATTTAGAAATTATAACACAGTCAAACAAATTTCACTAAAAAAAAATTGTCGAAATCTTTACGTTTAAATATACGTGAAGTGTTAGTCATTGAATATTTATCGTATATCACAAACACGTGCTTCTTATTCAGTCCTTTATAATTTTTATTTCAAAAAGTATGGCTTTTTAAAACTTACGTGTAATCAGTTGTTGATAGACAATACAGAAGAATGATAAATTAGTCTATATCTTTGTGTGTAGAATTACATGAAAATTATTTATTAAAGAATAATATTAAAAGCGATAGAGTAAGAATTTTTATTGATATGATTATAATAATGTTTACCGAGATGTTAGTAATCTTTTTGTTTAGCAGCTGATTCACCAGGATTGACTCGAAAAATTTTCGTATAAATGCCACGACTTCCTGTACTTGCAATAAAACGTATTTGATTTTTCGAAGTCTTCCATTAAGTTTTGAAGATTCGATATTGATGCGTTTTTAATTGTTCTTTTCACACTATATAATAGTGATCATCTCGATGGTGTGAATATCAACAGTGTGTTCGTATTTTTTACCCATCAAAACAAAAATCGATTAGACAAGCAATAATATTCTATAATAAAATAAAAATAACCTTTCTGTTTTATACACGTCGTTACGGTCTAAGAAAATATTTCATGTTTTTTATAAGCAAAAATCAAATCTTATGTCTATTTAGAAGCAACAATTATTGATTATCACGTAAAATGTGAAGAAATCGATCTTTTGAAAAGATTACATGCATATAATAGACCTTTATATCATGCTCGTATAATAAGAAATTATATTGTTGCTTTATAAAACTCATTAAGAAAGCGACATTCTTTTTTTGACGCGTGTTAGAACATGAAAGATGAAAATACAAGATTCAACTAGAATTTTTTATTTATTCTATTATCTATTACAATATACTTTATTAAAATTAAAAATATAAAAAAAAGAAGAATTTGATCTTCTAGATGAAGTTTGTTTTTATTCTTTACTCGAGATAACTCAGACTCAATTAACCCTGTAAGAAATTGATTTTTAGTAGAAAACAATAGTGCATCGCTATTTAATATAAAACGAAAACGATATCACAAGCGAAATAACTATTTTGCAGTTGTTATTATATAGCTATGCTCATCATATGAAATATATTAATTATTATACAAATATTTGTTTTCATTAAATATAATAACCGTGTATTTATATAAAATCTATTAAAATATAAATTATTTTTTAAAATTAATCAAGAAAATATAACATAGAATTTAAATCGGATCGAATCTATTCATTAAATTATACTTCAATAAGAATAATTGAACTGATATTTAAAATTATTATATACTATTCTTTCTATATTTAATCATTTAATTGATGTACATTGTCACGTGTGTTTTTTTTATTCATATATCAACAATATTTAACATATAGATCGAGAAAAACAAATACTAGACCAATGATTTACTTTTCTATTTGTTATATAAAAAATAAGTAATTCATGCATCAATGATTTATAATACAATACAAAATATCAAACAATATATGTCCTTCGACCCTGTATTTACTTGAAATATACATTATAAGGTATTGTATACATGTATTTTTTTTAACTCATTAAGTTATTCTTTAAGATTTGTTGTTTATTCTAATTATGAAATTTATTCAAACAATAAAATTATGGATTTTATTAATAATTATTCAAATACATACAATTCAATCAAATACTCAAAAAGGTAATTTTGTTAACAGATTATTTTCTTCGAGAAATATTTTATTATTTAATTTAGTTGATGATTCTTCGAATAATGTCTATGCATTACTTGTAATTGATGTTCAATATTGTTTTATAAATGGTTCATTAGCATTAAAAAATAGTCCTGCTCGTCAAGATGGTGCTGAAGTTGTTCCTATAATAAATAAATTAATAAAAACAGTTCCATTTGATGTTATTGCTTATTCATTAGATTGGCATCCAAAAAATCATATATCATTTATCAATAATACAATTTATAGAAATCAATATATTCTAAATGGACAATATCAAGATTATAAAATTGGAGATACAATTACTTATACTGGACCAGAAAGTAGAACAGATCAAGTTTTATGGACTGCACATTGTGTTCAAAATACAGATGAAGCACAGTTATCTGATGATCTTATTCATTATCCAGCCAGTGATAAATATGTTTATGTAGTCAAAGGTACAGATCCTGATATTGATAGTTATTCAGCATTTTATGATAATAATAAACTTCATATGACACCATTAAATGATGAATTAAAAAAACGAAATGTTACACATGTATTTGTTGCTGGTTTAGCACTTGATTTTTGTGTTGGATCAACAGCAGTTGATGCGGCGGATTTAAAATATAAAACATATGTTATTAAAGATGCATCTCGAGGTGTTAATGATAAAACAATTAAAACAAAATTAATTGAAATGAAACAACATGGAGTTAAAATAATAGAATCAGACGATGTTGAAAATATTGTTAAACATAATCAACATAGTAAACGAAAATTTATTAATTTTCAACGAAGAAAACAAATGTATAATTTACTTCAACGAATTTTAGAAAATGAATAGATCTATCAATTTATTTTATTGAAACAATACATTATAGAACATTATTATCAAATGATATATAGATTTGAAAATTATACTTAAAAAAATCTCTATCAATCTTTTCAAAAATAAAATACTAATTCATTTCAGATTATTTTTAAGTGTTCAAATAAAAGAATAACTGATTTTGTTTAAGATATTGATTTGATTAAACTTTTGTGATAAGAATAAAGATAACGCATGAATGTGTTTGTCTGTCGGCGTGAGAAAAGCGGAATCTATGATCATGGGAAATATCGTTTTTAGAATGTCAATTAGTTTCCTAAAGACTCATTTAATAAATAATGTAATTTTGAGAAAAAATTTTCTTTACCATAGTAGGAAGAAAGCGTCTATAATCACCCTTAAGTTGATCTGTAAAAGAAAGATGAATGCATGGAAGAAATATAGATAACTAACACATATTATTCAATTTGAATAAAGTTATAGAAGCACTCTTCTATTTGTTACTTCTTTGCTTAAAAATTGTTCATATACAGAACTCTGACGCATGTTCGTATTTTAAATAAAAATATACGAAAGTCGTCGGCGAAATTAATTTATGTTTTCTCAAATATTGTTTTACTTATTTTTCAGTTATACTGTAGTATGACTTTAATTTATACTAATGAGAATCTTGAATATAGATTTATTAAAAGAAAAAGAAATATTATAATATATGTCAACATTTCGTATCATTAGAATTGATTTTATATTTATTCGATTTGCATATAACACATGTGTGATAATGTGTTTGAAAATATGACCACATTCTTCGTAAACCATATTCGGGATGAAGTATTGGATTAATATCATTAACACCTGTAACATACCAATCAGAATCTAATGTTGTTGACCATCGTAATTTATAAGCAACAACATCAGCACATAGTTGCACCATATCTAAATTCATGTCTAATCCTTGAGACCAAATTGGATTATCATCTGATGGATAAACCATTTCATTTATCCAATGAGTTGATATCGAGAATTTGATGGTGGTAGATTATTTTACACAGAAATAAGCCATACAGATGTCACATATCAAGATCCCATGTATCTTCAACATCTACTTAGTGGATATCTCTATAACAATATTTTGACGTCTTTTTATTTTAATTAAAATTAAACTAGATCATATTCATGTCATATTCACGCTCTGTCATAAAGATTATCAAACTTAGAATTATTCATTCTGTGGTTGTCAATGAAGTAATAAGATATATCGTATATGAATATGTATGTGGAGCAAACAAGTAAAGTTTTTCTTTTCTTCTGTTGTCAGTGTTATTTCTTTTTTTTTTGTTACTTTCTTATCTTTGATACAGAAACAAATGTAATCATCAGAGTAAAAGAGACACAAACGTATAACAACATTAAAAGAGTGTTTTTTTTTGTTTTTATTCATCTATAGCAACGAAAGAAGTTTATAACTAAAAATGAGTATTATTGATCGTTTTATCGATGCCGACAAAGAGCCGACTCGACCTCGAATGCCTATCGAAGGCTATGAAAAGAAACCGTTAGTATCACTTGAAGAGGCTGTTCAAAAAGTAAAAGATTTGGTGCATGATTTCGATAGAATCTTGTGGTTGACAAAGCGAGATCTCACCACTCCAGTAGATGGTCTCAATATTGACGAGTCCGCTGCTATTCGTCTTTATACTTTACAATGGTCTCAACCATACGAAAGTCTATACGCTCAGCTCAATCGAACACTTCGTGCAGAACTGCGTGAACAGCTAACGGTATGGTTTTCGTACTTGAAAATCTTTCTGACTGCTCTATACAAACTACCATCGATCAAAAAAACAGTTTGGCGAGGTGTTCATGGTGATGTTAGTGAACATTATAAAAAAGATTACATATGGTGGGGTTTCAGTTCATGTACGGAAACGATGGATGTGCTCGAACAATTTATTGGTCGAACAGGTGTACGTACTATATTCATGATTGAATGTTTAAATGGTAAAAATATTCGTAATCATTCTGTTTATGAAAATGAAAACGAGATTCTTCTTATGCCTGGTACTTATCTTCGTGTAAAAAGTAAATGGAGTCCAGCAGATGGATTACATATGATTCACTTGGAAGAAGCAACTCCTCCGCATCAGTTAATAGCTCCACCTGGAGATATTTCTACTGTAGATGATGTTTTATCAGATAGTCTTATCTCATCAATAACAACAGTGCAGTCGAGTGATGAGAAAATTCATTACCAGCTTTCGCGAAATCAACCAACTCGATTAGGTATTATCGAAGATGATATGAACGAACCATTCGTTTGTATATTTCATTCGTTTTAGTAACAAATGATCTGCAGCAATATCATTCAACGTGCCGATTTCAAACAGGTTCGTATGAAACGCAGCTCGTCAAAAATAATATCGTGCTTTTAGACAAACCATGGCTCGATCGTCAGAATCAATCAACTGATCATCGATCAACTAAAATACGCAATCAGCTCGAGTGTGAGATAGAAGGTCCTCCTGGTGATATTGATACCGAGATTCTCACTCGCATTCAAGGTTCAATGATTGGATTGGCTTTGGGCGATGCTCTTGGTACACCTGCTGAATATCGGTCTCGACAATATTTACTTGAGTGTCCAGTCACTGATCTACAAGGAGGAGGAACATGGAATCTTGAAAAAGGACAAGTAAAAATTTGTTGACATTTCTTTATAGAAAATTTGTTTTTAGTTTACTAGTCAAACCTCAATGGCACTTTGTCTGGCAAATTCATTAGTGGCTCGTCGAGATTTTATTCCTTACGATCAACTCGTTCGCTACAAATGGTGGTATAAGTATGGATACATGTCAGTCACAGGAAAGTGCTACGATATCGATGCAGCGACTAGCCAATCTTTGCGCGAATTTGAACGACATCAAAAACAATTTGCGAACGAACATGGAATACCTCTTGAACGGCTGGATTACATTTCAGACTTTGATCTTCTGGAAAAGTTCAATACATTTTGCAGCGACGAAGGTGCAGCTGATAATGGAGCTCTAGTTCGTTTAGCTCCTGTGCCACTGTTTTTCTGGCGACATCCTATTGAAGCCGTGGAATTCTCCGGAATAAGTGGAGAGATTACACATGGTGATCGAACAGCTTATGATGCTTGTCGTTATTATGGCGCACTTATCGTCGCAGCTCTTCAAGGCGAATCGAAAGAACAATTGCTTGACAGAGACTTCTATTCCAAACATAAAACATGGTTCTATAAAAGCCAGTTGACGCCAGAGATTATAAAAATCTCCAGAGGATCTTATCAACGGGAAGGTGGATACGATAGCGGAATTCGAGGCAAAGGCTACATTGTTAATGCTCTAGAAGCCGCTTTGTGGGCATTTTGGTGTGATGAAAATTCTTTCGAAATAGGTGCTCTTCACGTGGTCAATCTTGGTGATGAAACAGGTTCAACAGCGGCTATATATGGACAACTAGCAGGTGCTTACTATGGTTACAAGAATCTACCTAAGCATTGGCTTTCGCATCTCTATGCCAGAAAATTTATCATGAGTCTAAGCAAATGGATAGCATATGAGGGACAACAATGGGCGTCAGCTCAAGAGCAGTAAAAATAATACAATCTGTGTCATTGATGAAAACTTTTCGTTCTTGTCTATTATAAAATTCATTAA